CTCACCTTCCCCACCACTTGTTATTACTTCTTTTGAAAACTAGCCATCACTGTGAAATATCCTTGGGGTGTTTGAAATAGACTTTATATATATATATATATATATATATATATATATATATAGTTCTTTTGTTGCTCATATATATAGGCAATTCTTTGCTCTCTCTGGCTGCATTTTCCTCTCTAAAAAGTATGTATGTAACTGAGTGCCTGACTTCTGGTTTTAATGGAAAGACCTTTTAATATATGAGATCAACCCAACTCTGACTCATGAGTGCCACCCCTGGAAAAATCAAATAAACTTGGAAACTTTCCATGTTTCTTCTTTGACTCTTTTTTAATGTGATGGTCTGTCTATAATCATCATAACAGACTCCTAGAACACTTTTTGTTCTTGGTTTTCTTAGGAAGTTAGTCAGTTAAGTGGACTCAGTAGTTCAACCCATGTTGTTTAAGGGTCAACTGTATTTACTGTTATTTAAAATATACTTATTCATGAAAAATGTCTACACTAGCAGAAAATATATAACAGTAATCCAATGTTTTTTTTTTTTTTTTTTTTTTTTTTTTGAAGTCTGTCATAATGTTATTGGCGCTATCAACTGTGTGTTATTTTGCTTTACAGGGGTAAATAAGCCTATGAAAATTTCGATATGATGAATCTTATTGGATTACCTAAATTACCTTATGATATTTTACTATATTATCATTCATATAATTGAATTCACAGGTTTATTTTTTGGAGATTAGAATTTACATTTTTATCAATAATAGAATAAAGTTAAGGAAAATGTTATGTACCCTCAATATGTTAGCAGTCATATTTTAATGTTGACTCTCCTTTCCTTCTTTTTTGTTTATTAAATTTTTAAGTTCATTTTTGAGAGAGAGGGAGAAACAGAGTGTGAGTGGGGGAGGGGCAGAGAGAGAATCTGGGGGAGGGGCACACAGAATCTGAAGCAGGCTCCAGGCTCTGAGCTGTCAGCACAGAGCCTGATGTGGGGCTTGAACTCATGAACCGTGAAATCATGACCTGAGTGACATCATGACCTGAGCCGAAGTCAGATGATTTTCTTCTTAAAATGTTATCTTCCCTTTGCTTTCATGACACCACATTTTCTCCATTTTCCTCCTATCTTTGCCTATTCCAGCAAACTTTTGTGTTGGCTTATTCTTCTACATCTGAAAACTACCTAAGTATTTCTCAAAGCCTAGTCAGAATGACTAACTATCTCCTTGGATAAAATAAAACTCTAGTTACAATGAACAGAGTTATAATTTGGGGGGGCTAAAAGTCATTCATCAGTTACCTTCTTTTTTTTTTTTTATTAAAAGTTTTTTTTTTCAACGTTTATTTATTTTTGGGACAGAGAGAGACAGAGCATGAACGGGGGAGGGGCAGAGAGAGAGGGAGACACAGAATCGGAAACAGGCTCCAGGCTCTGAGCCATCAGCCCAGAGACTGACGCGGGGCTCGAACTCAGGGACCGCGAGATCGTGACCTGGCTGAAGTCGGATGCTTAACCGACTGCACCACCCAGGCGCCCCTCAGTTACCTTCTTTAAGCCTAAAGTTTTGCTTCATAAAAGGACGGCACTGAACTTTACGTTATCCTACAATAATGGCATGCTCTTACATGTAAATATGAAAACAATTAAATTAAATGCTTATGAAGATTAGCATACTAGTGCTTATGTGTGGTTCTTATATAATAAATTCTTAAAATGTTTTTGGAAAAGTTATAGTTGTAAGTAGTCTTTGCAGTAACATTCTTGTATTCCTCACACAAAAGTGAAAAAGCAAGTCTCAAAAATTTAACTAAATTTAGGAGCAAGCCCACAAGCCTAAAGTCAGCATCAACAACATTAGACTAATTCTAATGCTTATTTATCATTAACTTGCATTTAGCAAATGAAGTTTGTTAGCATTAAGAATTTTATCTGTAATCCCTATAAAGCAATTTTTATAATGTCTTTGCTTTTCTTTGTCCTTCGTTTTAACATAATTGCTCATCTGGGTTCAGATCAGGCAGGACCTCTCAGAAATACAAAGGCAGAATATGGGCTTTGTGGGTTTTTAATGTAGGAATACAAGATAAATTATCATGGTTTTAATACGAGGAATGAGAATTGATCATTCCCCCTTTCCTACTGAAAATATTGATATTATTTTTTTTCAAATAAGTCCATGTGTAATTCGTTTAATAAATAAACCAAACTCAGTAAGGTTTTAATGGCTATAAAAACAGCTTTATTATTTTTCCTACCACTGTCTTCAAAACCTTTTATTTTTTCTCTTTCCCATTTCTTGGAAACAACTTATTCAGTTCCTTTAGCTTTCTGAATACTTTAATGTATTTCAGAAATAATTCCAGTTCTGGCAATGATGAGATAGTTTTCCTGGATTAACCCAACAACGATGATAAATTCTGTATCAAATTTAAAAACACACTAGTTGAAAGGACTGAAGATCAACCAAAAGCAGGAAGAAACTGAAGGGTATCTCACCCCTGAAAAATGGTAACTACATTAGGAGAGAACCATTTTCATATGGCTTATTCATTGAAGACCCACCTCAGTTTAGGCAATAAAGGGTAACTAGAGCACAAACAGAAAGTCAGAGCCTTATGAGCATCATATGTCAGAAGATGGAGTTTGATGTAGCCAGAGTGGCCAGAAATTACAACAGAAATCACAGAGAGGAGAGACCCATGGAAGAATGGGCCAAAAATTTGTGAGTAAGCCTCTCTCAAGTCTTCGGCTGACTCTTAAACTGCACATGTAGGAGAATGACTTTTTAAAAAATCAGCAGAAATTAACAACCAGAAGACTAAAGGAACAAAAGATTATAATTACTGCCTACGGCAAGGATGATAGAGATTACATTTTGAGTCCCTCTAAGTCACAAGGATTTGATGAGAGCCACAGAGTTTTCGTAAAAACTCCAGAAGGCTATGCTTAGGAATAGAAGGATTGCTAAAACCAATGGATTTTCCCTAAAAACTAATATAAAAAAGACCTGACTTAACAGCAGGTAAACCAAACCTCAACAAGTTCAGGGGAAACCAATAATTGCCTAATAAAACAAAGTCAATCCTCTTCAGAGCATGCAACCTCAGAGACATAATCTCAACTCTTAATAATGTATCAACCACAATGCTCAGTACCCAATCAAATGTGAAAAAACAAAAATGTGAAGAACTAGAAAAATGTAGTTAACAGCAAAAGCGGTCAACACAGACCTATCTGGAGATGGAAAAGATGTTGAAATTGTAGCAGACAAGGACGTTAAAGCAGCTATTGTGAACATGATGAAGGACTTACAAGACGATCAGAATGATAAAAAGGTATGGAATCTCAGAAGAGAAATGGAAATTATTTTTTAAAACCTGAAATTCTAGAACTGAAAAATAAGCTATCTAAAACGAACTTATTACATGGACTTAGCAGAAATTGGAGACTGTAGAATAAAGAATCAGTCAACTTGAAAGCAGATCAAAATAATGTAAAAGTCACAGAGTAAAAATGCAAAAGTCAGAGAGTAAAAATATTTTAAGAAATTAAATAAGATTTCAGTGACCTAGAGACAAAATTAAGAAGTCTAACTCGAATATTTTCTGAGCCTTAAAAAGAGAGTGAAGAAAGGGAAAAGGGTAGAAAAAATAATTATAGAAATAGTTGCCAACATTTATTAGATTTTGTGAAACATATCCTGGAGTTTAGTGAATCCCTAGGAGAATACATACAAAGAAAACCACATCTAGGCATATCATAGTTAAACATCAAAACATCAAAAATGAAAAAAAAATTGTAAAAAAAAGCCACCCCACACGAAAAAAAGGAACAAAAGTACAAATGATGTCTAACTTCTCATCAGAAACAACATATGACAAAAGATTATAGGAAGACATCTTTAAAATGATGAAAATTAAGAAAAATTGTCAACTCAGAGTTTTGTATATATGAGTATCATTCAAAACTGAGGGCAATAAAGACATTTCAAGGTTAAAAAAGTTGAGAGCCACTTGGACTGAACTTCAAGACATTCCAAAGGAAGTTCTTCCGAAGTAAATGATTTCAGATAGGAGCTCAGATAAGTAGAAATAAATAAAGAACCTTAGAAATAGTGGATAAGTAGTTAAATACCAGAAAACTTTTTTCTCTTTATATCTGTATAAGACAACTGATTGTTTAAATAAAAAAAAATATTACATTTCACTGTGGAGTTCTGACCACAGTAGCTATTATGACCACAATAGCATAAAATATAGGGTGGTATAAATGAAATTATATTGCTACAAGTTTATACCTTTTTAAAAATGTGAATGATATTAAACTAGATAGAATGTGGTAAGTTAAGAATGCATATCATAATCTCTATACTAACCACAAAAACAGAAATACAAAGAGATATAGTACAGAGTCAAAAGAGGAAACTAAGTCAAATACAAAAAAATATCCAATTAACCCAAGGAGGGGCAAAAAAAGAAAGAACAGAGAGGAAAATGAAACATATATAAATCAACTAGTGAATAATAAACCTGAACCCAACTCTTCAAAAATTTGTCAAGAAGACATAATAATTACAAACATGTGTGCATCTAATAACAGAGATTCAAAAAAATGAAGCAAAAACTGACAGAAGTAGAGATAAGCAAATAGAGACATTTAAGTACCTCTTTGAAAAATAAAAGAACAAGGATAAATATATCAGTAAGGATACATACAAATGTTTAGAGTGCAAGTTTGGCAAAGGTGAAGCCTTGTTCTAGATACTTTTCTATTATAAGAAACACTTTAAAAATTAGCTTTATTCTGTCATCAACTTTTCTTTACACAAAGTTCAGGAAATAGTACTGGCTGAAACTTTTGCTGACGTTTGCGTTCAACATCACCACTCAATGTTTTGCCTTGCACTTATTTTACATGAAATTAGCTTCTAAAAGTTATAGTTCAATCTTTAGATAGGAGATAGATAGATAATAGATAGATAAATGCTCACCTTAAAGACCAGTTCTCCTACCAAGCCATTCCATGTCCCATCTTCTTGTGGGCTTCCATACTTGTGATCCGGTGCAACATAAATTTCATAGTTAAAACCCAGGTAGTTAGATAAGGCATCCAAAACATCAATGGAGAAGCCCTGGTATTTCTTCGGCTTACCCAAGACATTTTCAGAGACCATTACAAAAGGTTCTTCCTACATGGAAATAAGAGAAATCCTTGATGTCAATCTATAGTGCTCCCTAAAAGCAAAAATTAATTCTTCAAAGAGTTTTGCTTAGAAACAGCTTAAAAATTGCCTTTGAACTTTGAGAGAATTAACTTAGCAATATAACTTATGTGTTATTAATGTATCACACTATTGAACAATGTTTTATCACTGAATTTCTTTTCATCTCTCATTTAATTACTACCATATAAAAATTAGATGAAAGTAACTCTAAAACTTCAGGGGCTATGAATTCATTTTTCTTGCCATCTTAAGACCAATGTAAGTTCAAGAAACTCTAAGATTATTGTATCCTGAAGCATTTATTATCTATATATGTCAAAAATATGTTAAATAATATTTTAACAGATATAATCTAATAAACTCTCTAAAAAGAACAAAAAATTCTAGGAACATATAATTTAACTAACATTTATAACATAACATTTACTGGGAGTTTCTTGATAAGTAATTTTGAAGTACAAACACATTTCATTGCAAAAATAGCTTCTCTACTATTGCTATGAGAAATTCACCTAAGTTTTTGGTAAATTGTGTAATTTAGCAAATTTAGCAAATTGGTTTCTGCTTCTACCTCTTTTATCATTCTGTGTTTGTGTCCTCTTACATTTAACAAATAGACTCCTTTCACTTTTCAGAACACCTGGTGTTAAGAGAACTCAGTTGTTTGGAAACATGCTGGCAGACTATAGAAAATCAGATAACTTATTCCTTAATTTCCTAAACTTTTTCAAAACCTTTTAGAACAGTAATATTTACAGATAACCATCCATATGTC